TCCACTTTCCAGCTGGGAAAACTTAGATGCCTGGGTTCCATCTCTCTGTTCCGGGAGCCAGGAGGGCTGGGATTCTAAGTGTCTGGACCTGAAGGGATCAGCCATCTTTGGTTCTCTGGGAGAAGAGGAAGGAAGGAATTGTATGTCTGTGGCGGGAAGGGGGGTTGCTAGAGAGAATTACCATTTACCACTGCTCCTTTTCTGCAGCAGTGCTTATAAGTAGGTACTCTGTTAAACAGTGCCTGGAGACATGCCAACTAAAGTCCACAGTTGTGATTGTTGATTATACCTCAGCTGTGGGGCCAGCTTTGATTGTCTTCTGGGGTCTGTTTGGTTGCTGTTTTACATAAAATGGTTCCACATCAACATGCTGGCCCCAGTCAAGGGAAAAAAAACCCCACAGGAGTATAACCAGAGTTATGGTCTCACTCAAAGTAACACAGACTGATTAGCTCCCAACAACAATAGGGTATCCTTGCCATACAGCCTCTGCTTTATTCCAGGCCAGTAGTACAGGGATTAGTGAAAAGTGTTTATGAGGCATGAGGTCAGTGGGGACCATCAATGAACAGTATCATCAATCTTCCACATGGGGTCTGATTATCAGAGTAGGCAACTATATCCTCCCCCATGAGCATACCCCAACTTACCAAGGAGTCACATTAGACCATTCACCTATAAACATCATATTTAGAAGGTCAGAAGTAAAGCTTCTGAATAGGTATCTGCCTTAAGATGTTTAGCTTACATGACATGAGGTGCCAACTCCAAAGTGCTCAGAACCACCACAGTTATAACAGCATATGCCACAGCAGACTACTGTGCTCCTGTATCAGGGGAACCCCAAGTCCAGCCAATGGGCTGGATTGGGCTGCAATGGACTCCATTTCCCAGAAGCCCCTACCTTCCTAGCTCTGGTGGACAACAAAGATCATATCATATCAGTTTTCCCACAGGATGGTCTGAAACCATGCTGAGATTCCAGCAGGACTTCCTCAGCAAGACATAGAAGGATGTGGACAAGGATTTTCCCTGCTGTGGAAAGGACGGTCATTCCTCAATAGTTTCACACATGGAAGGAAGGCAGTAACAATGTTGGCATTTCTCAGGTCTTTTTTGTTCCAAATTTGAAGAATAACTCTGTGGAGTTTCAGTACCAGTTCCTCATTTTAGATTTTGGCATGTATGCCATCTGGTCCAGTAGCCTTGTTGTTTTTGGTTTCCTTGATGACACATCAGACTTGACGTTGGTGAGGGAACCCTTTTCAGGGATGTTGACAGATGGACTTGATGGTGGTATCCATCACAGTTTACTCACGATTCAGAAGTGCCCCCCACTCCCCAAATCTGATATTCTTATAGTGAGGGTACATATGATCTTTGTTTTACCAAGTATACTGTAGGCCGCACTGGAGTATAGACAGGTGCAGCCATTTGTCAGTACACATAGAAATCATACAGAGGCCCATTAACAGCATGAACTAAAGCAAACTCAATAACATTCTGAGCCATAGACTTTGATGACCAGAAACCTGACCATACATGGCTTGAGCAGATATGCTAGGAAAGTTAGGACTGTTAGCTTCTAGGCCTCTCAAAAGGCCAATGGATGGGAAACAATGGATATGATGGGAACTAAACACCAAAATATTTCTCAGAGTGTCCTGATAAATAGGTTCCCCCACCTGGTGATTTTGTATCTAGTGTGAATGATGTCACCTATATATGTCTAACAATTGGTGAAACCAGAAGGTGTATGTTATAAATCTAAATTTGTTTTGATCAAGGGGCCTGAGAACTGTGAATTTAAGGACTGTGATAGGGGCCATATTTTATGCCAGCATTTTGTCTAACAAATAAATCTCACTGATGCTGTGCCTGATGCATGGTGTTAGTGTCTGGTCATTTGGGAGCAATAAAACCTCTCTTTTTACTGAGAAACAGAGCCTGTTGTTTAGTACAACTAACAAAGTTGCTACAAGTAATGGTAGTATAGTATCACTGACAGTATCCTAACTGAATGCTCACTGACCATACCAAGTGATGGAGCCTGACATGACTGTTATGACTACACCCCTGGTCACACCAGACATGACAACAGTGACAGACAATATTGATGACCACTTGTAATAGGAGGGTAATGTGACAGTACCTTTTGGTGTATTTAGATTGACAAACCAGTCTCTTCCCTAAGAAACTGTATGGCCTACTATTTACCTGGGCTAGGGATGAACATTACACATAAACCAGTTTCAATTATTAGAAACTGGTTTAGACCTGTAAAAGAAAATATTTTTAGTGCACATAAACCAATTGTAAAATAGCTGAAACTGGTTTGAGGTAAACCTGGTTGAATGTAGTAGTATCAGACTTAACTGATTTGGGTCAAACTGGTTTATGCAGTGTCAGTCCTGGACCACTTTCTAGTTTAAGTTAAATCAGAGTCCCTCAGCATCCCAGATGCTTTGCAGCCCTTGGCAAGCTCTGCTTTCTGCTCCAGCCCAGGAGGGCTGGCCCCACCCCTCTTCTCCCTGGCTGAGACTCCAGCAGAGACTGCAGGTACAGGGCGCCCACCTGTCTTCTTCCTTCTCACCTTCCTTCCCCTCAGCACCCCCTGTTCAAGCAGGGATTCCCCTCTCCCTTCTTCTTTACACATACACATTTCAGCATCAGCTAGTATACCATATACTGGCTACAGTCTGGACTATGGGAGACAGGACAAAGGCAGACAGGAAAGACTGGATTTTGGGAGCTAATCAACAGGTAACTGATAATGTATGTGTGTGTGTCCCATTCCTTACTTGGAAAAAAGTTGTTTAAGAAGAGCTTGAATTAGTGAGAGAGGTTTCTGTTTTGTGTGATGGGCTGATAAATGCTAACAACTCCCTGTGTAACTCCCTGCTGTGAAACTCAGTGCTATTTTATCGACAGTGGGGGGAGGGGGGAACCCCTCCCTAATCACAGCATTCTGCTGGGGCCTGGCTATCCCCCCCCACCTCACCACTATGGAAAGGAAGGGAGGGCTGCTGTAGCTTCCCCAAGCTTCCAGCCTGAGCCACTGCAGGCATGTGCCTGCATTTCCTCAGTTCAGAAGGGATGTCTGTGCAGTTACAAACCAGTTCAGCCTAGCCAGGTTAGACTAATCTGCAAATATTGAATCAATTTAGGCTCAGGCTTATTGAATATCTGTCCCTAACCCTAAAACTTGTAAAACAGCATTTAAAAAGGATTGACAACATGCAGTCCACAGGCTCAATCCAGCTCACAGGGACACTGAATCCAGCCCATAGAGCTGGAGGACTTTGCTTGCACCCAAGCCACTGCTGCTTCTCCGAGCCCACACCCTCTCCCTGACTGTCTGAGGGATTAGTTTCCAGCTGGTGGGAATTGAAACGCTGCCTGGGGCTGAAACTGTCTCTGCATTGCCTCTGCTTCTCTCTACTCCCTTACCTTCCTTCCATAACCTCGTAGCAACAGAAATAGGCACAACTGGAAACTGTCCAGCCATGGTGCCAAGACTGGAAGCTGTGTCCATGCTGGAGCCAGAAGTGGCAAAAATTGGAAACAGCATGGGTAGAGCTGGAAGCTGTACATCCCCAAATCAGCTCTTCTGCCAGCATCCATGCAAGAGATGGCCAATGAGGAACTATATGGGGGCGATGTATCATCTGGCTGTTCCTAGGCTGCTATTGCTTCCCCTTCCCTACCACCCCAAGCCCTGACAACTCTTCACTGCCTGCTCATGGTGTGGGCTCAAGCAGAGGAGCTGTTTTGAGCTGTGCCCACACTGATGTCACTTCTTCCTGTTCTTCTCTCCCCCTGGCTGCAGTGTGACTACAGCTTCCAGCCCACAGGGAGCTGTGCCAGAGGAGGACAGCTTCCAGCTATGCCTGCATTGCAGCTGGGAGATGGGGGCAAAAGGGGAAAGCAGAGAGAAGCAGGGGCAACATTGGTGTAGTTTGCAGCTTCCCAGCCCTGACAAAGCTCCCCACTAGCTGGAAGCTGAACCCACAAACAGCCAGAGAGTAGGCGGCCAGGGCTGGGGGAAGCAGTTGTGCTGTGGGTGAAGTTCCTAACTGTCTGGTCTCAGGACAGCTGCAGAGAAATCCCCCTTTCCCCCACCCTCCCCCAGCACTGAAATATCACCAAAGCTAGCTGGCCTGCCCTGGACAGGTTGTTCTGGCCCACTGTTTCTTAAATGTTGCTGACCACTGTTGTAAAGCATTTCCAGAAATAAATAAAAATCTATTCTATACTCATTCGAAAAAGCTCTGACTTGTGTGCTGAAGCCAAGGAGCTGATTTATTTTCATCCTGGCATCCAGAGAACCTTCTTTGTTTAACATGTTGGGTATTTTATAGCGTTGTTGGCATATGCAGATAAATAGAAATGGCAGGGCCTCATTCTGATTTTATGAGGCCTACAATGGTGTGAATTCCTTAATGTCCAAGCAAAATTCTAGAGAGGTGCTGGCAACACATGAGTTAAGTCTGATCATGCACAGATAACACTTGCTCATGGAAATTTCCACAGCATGCCCAGGACGTGCCCCCTGGGTGACCTGAAGCTCTGTCAATCTCCGGTGACCTACTTTTCAATCACCAGTGACCTACTTTTCAGCCCTGCGCCTGCCTAGTTACAACACAGAGCTCTAACTCACACATTCTCAGTTAAAAAGAGCATGACATAATAATACTAGAAAATTCTAACAGCCAAGCGGCCTGATTGGCTAAGGGGCTGCTATATTAGTGAGTGAAACCCCCACCTTTGTGTGGGCATCGTTAGTGTGAGAGTTGAGAGAGAGAGCTACTCGGTCTTCTAGCGGAGGCTGCTTTTAGCAGGGACAGTGAGAGGGCAAGTTCAGGATTCAAACCCCGGCTCTCCTCACAGCTTTACGCTGCACTTAACCCCCTTCGGTTCCATTTACCTCGTGTTGATACCTTCGGTTACGGTACTGTTTTGACTTGGACTTGGACCTCGATTCTGATTATCCATTCGGCACTCTGATCTCGGCTTCGTTCTACTCACCTGGCTTTCAACCGACCTTGGCTTCGTCTTCTTCATTCTCCTTGATTACGGACTGTCCTTTGGACTGGCGTCACACTCTCGACCCTAGCATCGTCTCATCACTACAAGTTACAGCTCTTGTTTGTTATTCGTTCATCCCTGTATAAGCTGTCGACCAACTCTGGGACTAGCCAGCAGGCAGCTGCCCCTAGCTCTCCAGGGCTAGATAGCAAGGGCTTGCTGGTGAACCCCGTGAGCCAACAGATCCCTTTGTTGTTTGTTCACGTTCCAAATCTGTAACTGAAGCAAGCATCGCAACCTACGGCTTCAAAGCGTAAGTCAAATAAACCCACTTTGTTTGAAACCTTTACGTTTCCGTGCCTCAGAACTGCATGCCAAAAATCCCGCCTGTTCCATGTCCAATTGCCACCACCTGGCCGCCCAACTGTGACACTGTGAGTTTGGTTAACCAACTCCGGGACACTTAACTGCAGTGGAATTACTACTGTTTTACATGTGCATAAGGAAGACCACAGACAGTTCAAAGTTTCTGCCTTAAGTAGTTTAAAATCTAGTTTAGATGTTTATAAGGATTGTAGTGTCCAGATACTTGATCAAGATCAGGGTCCTTTTGTACAAAGTATAATGAAACAAAAAAAATCTTTTCCCAATATCTATGATAAAAATTATACTATTTTAAAAAGAGAGACAGAGAAAGACATAGACCAAGAGGATACTAGGTGGGGAAATTAGTTAAGGGTGGAAAAGCAAAAGCTGTTTACATATATATTGTATTGTTCTTTCCTTCCGTTTCCCCCCCTCATTTAATATAATCATTATTAAACCACTAGAGAAACGTGGGCACTTATTAGAGAAATATTTGTTAGTGTAGGGTTTGGGTCAGGGCTATATTGTTCCTGGGAATGCAAACATGGGTACAGCTTTAGCACTGCCAGCTAATTTGTCTAATTTTACTATCACTCCTTCAATCCACATACCTGTTTTTCCAAATTCTTTAATAACTCCTTCACCTCCGCTTCTTTCTCTTATAGTATTATTGTTATTTGTGTATATCCAGTGACTTTTCTCTAAAATGTTTATTGTGGTTGCACATTTGCTTTATAAATAAGGTTCTTTCCTGAATTATTCTTTACACTAATTTTTTTTTACCAACTGCATGCTCTATGAAGGCTTAAAAAGAACTTATGCTTCAGGTTGTAACACAATCTAATATATCATACCATTGATTAATCTGAACTCATTTAATTTGTTCTCTTAACTTCTCTTCTTCTGCCACTGTGCCACAACTTAAACTTTTAAGGTCCTATTTCACATTTTCCTGCTAATCTTCAGTCAAATCCTGTTTTGAATAAGGTTTCTGTCAAGAACCTTAAAATCTTCAGTAAAGTGGAATATATCAGTCCTTTCTAAAAATTGACCCAGTCTGTAGCAACCTTTCAACTCCTTTTAACCATATCGTACAGTTTATCATGGGATTTAAAGTTGCTTACTTCAAAATATTTCCACAGAATCCTAGGACAAAACAGAGTAAAAAATATAACAATATAGTCCACTTACCTTTTAAAATCACCTGTTGAACTTGGAATAACTTCAAAAGGATGTTCAAACACATCATGCAAAGGAACAAGAAGATTCAGTCATTTTGCAGGTCACCAAGGCCAAAATAATAGCATGTGAACTTGAGGGAGCATATTATAATTGCTAACTTCACTGGAGGATTTTGTAGTATACCATGTTTTTTTAATAGACATTTCTTCTAAGTTTGGTATTATTCCTGATCGTTTGACTGTATAATTTGAATTTTCTGGTGGTTAGATATTTTCATTCTTGACATTTCAATGGCCAAGTCGAAACACCGGCAGTGCTAGCTAAACATGGCGGTGCTAGCTAAACACCTACTCTATCAAGTGGTTGACCTTAATGTCACAGAGTGCCCTCCATAGGGTGAGGGGTGGTCTGTGGGGGGGGAAGTAGGACTATCATGGCCTTTTGTGGTCCCTCAGCACACTCTCTGAAGCCAGCCCAGGCATGGTTTCTAAAGCAGGGATAAAGCCCAGACTCCTTATAACTAGGAGGATCCTCACCTTTGGATCTGTCAGTGTCCTTGGTTCCCCATGGCCCTAACTCAAGAAACTCACAACTAGTTTCACTCCTGAAACAGAGGCTTCACTTCTTTTAGAGCACAACTCAAAGTTCCAAGTAGTACAGCAGAGAGTCTCATCATTACATGTATTTATTGAGGCAAAGGCCGTACAACCAGAAGTTGTCTACTGCTACCAGAGAGGTTAAGAAGTTCCTCTGTCCCTAAGCCAGTCCACACAGGTCTGAGAACCCCCCAAAATACTCATCTGTTCCTATTCCAGGCTTTCCAGCTCCCCAGAACTCCTTCACTTGTCTCAATCCTCCAGATTTTTGGCCAGGAGCCTTCCCCAACAAACCTGCTCTCTTATTATCGTGTTTATCTCCTCTGGACACCTCTTGGATTGACATGTCAACAAGACTATTCAAAACTTGTTTAATGCCAAGGGTCCATCTAATCTCATCCTCCATGTAGCCAGTCCTGGCACTTAACCATTCATTCCCTGTGCATAGGCAAATGAGGTCATCTGAGTCACACATATATCAACAAAAATACAATTCACACAGAAATATCACAATAAAAAGTGTAGTTCTTCCCATCCTGAGCTTGGCTTTTGTTAATAGTCATTGTAAAAGCTACTCTGTTAAGACATTGGTTCCTGCATATCTTAAAATATAGAGCCATGTCAAGTAATGTAACTGCAGATGACAAGTAGGGCATGAGTCCTAAGCACTGGCTATGAGGAGGCATGGAGTTAGGGTTACCATAAATCCAGGTTTTCCTGTGTGTGTCCTTGTTTATGGCCCCCGTCCTCCTGTCCAGGAAGGTTTTTAAAATGCAAGCAAATGTCCAGATTTTTGCTCTGCCTCTGTTTATCCCGGGCACTTCCAGGTTAGCTGCTTGGGGCCGGGAGCAGCAAGGCAAGGTGACTGGTTGTTAGGGGATCATGTGCTCTATTTAGAGACCCCAGAAACCTGCTTGCACATAAGAGAGGCAGAGAGACATGGAGACAGAGACAGAGACTCTGTGTGTGTGTGTGTGTGTGTGTGTGTGTGTGTGTGTGTGTGTGTGTGTGTGTGTGTGTGTGTGTGTGTACACACACGCATGCGAGCTGCATGGGCAACAGGGTTGGAGGAGCAGAGGACAATGGGTTGGGAGTTTGGGGCAGCACCAGGGGTGGGGGGCAGGGACTGCAGGTTGGGAGCGAGGGGCATCAGCAAAGCTGGGGCCAAGGGTATAGTAAGTCAGGAGTGAGAGGCAGCAGCAGAGTTAGGGGGGTTCTGTGGCTTAGGATTCAGGGGTAGAGGCAGGGCATGTACATATCACTGCCCCCACAATCATATACCCCTTTCCTTCCTCCCCCCCCATCCATCACCTCACCCCAGCAGGTGTCCTCTTTTTTGATACTGGAAACATGGTAATCCTACATGGGGGGTTACTGGGGATAGTGGAACAGCACCTCACCCTGGGAGTCAAGGCTCAGCCCTACACCCAAGAGCTTATCAGGGGAAGGGGAAGGGAAGGGAGCAAACAGGGCATTGGGGGTTCCTCCCAGAGAGCTTGTATCAAGGGATTGCTGCAGCTCAAGCTGACAATGCTAAAGCAGGAGCAGCAGCAATAGCAACTGCCTTCAATGTGTGGAGAGCCAGGTGCAGGTAATACTTCTCTGCCCCTCCCTGTCTTGTCACTCCCCACACTTGTTGCCCTGCCCTGGGTGCTGAAGCAGTTCACTATACCTTGGTTGTGACTGATGGACATTATGATGAGCCAGTGGGGAGAAAATGCTTGCTGACAAATTGCTGAGAAACTTGGTCGGAAATCAGATATCCTTATTGCCATGTTTGTTATCTATGCTATCTAAGTTTAAATATAGTCTGTTTTCTCTAATAACTCTGGCAATTATATCCTCATTTATAACATCACAATGTTGGGGGGGGCAAATTGTAGAATTTGAATTGCAGTGAATGACATCCTCTGAAGGGTGACTGCTATACACTGGCTTTTTTAAAAATGCAGTTTTCTGGTGCTCTGATAAGATCAGAGCAATTTCTGTATGTAGTCTCAGTCCCTTCTCTGATCATCTTGAGACAAGCATCAAATTAATCTGTTCTAGCCATTGCTTTTATATGATGGTGAAGTTTTAATATTTTAAAATGTCTCCACATCTGATTATCTGATGTCTTAGGACAGTTCTCAATTATAGATGTACACAATCTGTGAGGGCTGACAGGCCAAACCAGCTTGAAATCTTCTCCTGATTCTATGGCTTTCCCCCAAATGGAATTTCAAGTCTCTTATATCATGCAGGAATTATTCAAGGTACATGTAAAAGTTTGTTCTAAGTAGATGGTGTTACTGTATCAGGGGAAAATCAGGCAGAGATCTGCTTTGCATAAAGTCTCAGAGTGGACTGAAGCCCAGCATTACTTACCTAAGTGTTCATAGATGGTATGCACAAATGCACTGTATTGTATAAACCTTTTCTATGACTGCTTTCTAAATTCATTTCTAACAGGTTTTCAACCTTTTCATAACTTTTGGATTCTGTGCACATCAATATTCTATAAACTTTAAAATGATATATGATGTATGGTGAGGTAAGTTCAGATACCTTAAAATATTCTTAATTCATCTACTTAGCATTTTAGTATATAGTATATTATTAAAAACAAAAACATATTAGTAACAGGAGAAAAACCCACATAAAACTTTGTGCACATATCCTCACATGCAGTGGTGTACTCTTGCAGTGGCAAAAAAATGTGGCAGTACAAATTTTTCCTTCTGTGCATACCCCTGCACATGTGGTTTGGTGTGGGACAACTTGCCCCACTTCAGGAAAACTGCCCTTTCCCCACTCCTCCTGACTCCCATCATGCTGTAGGACTGTGGGAACAACTACAGGAGGAGAGACAGTCTTGTGGAAGCCAGAAATTCTCTCTGGAGAACCAAGCCTTTGTGTCTGTTGGTGCACACTTCTGAAGCATGTGCCGTGTTGCTTTTTTTGATGTGGTCTTTTTTGATACCAGGAGTTCCCAGCATAAAATTTTCGGCCTTGCTGCAAATTTGCTGGATGTCAAATGGCTGCATGTGCACCAAATATGGTTTATTGCTCATGCGTGCTTGTCTGGATGTTCCCTGTAGAGTTATAATATATTGTTTTAACTATACAAAGAGTGTAGTTAGAACAGACAGATCAGCAATCAGACAGCCAAAAGGCTTTGATATCCATACTAATGAAACTTTTAAGAGTGATTTGTTGTTTGTATTTGAACCCTGTATTTGGGGAGTACAAAATAATATCTTCCGCATATACAATTAACTTGAAAGTTCATAAAGTGAAACTTACAATGCATGTGCGTATTGTGCATTCTTTATTATACACAAAATGAAATCAATTAGGCTTACATGCTACTATAAAAACTTTCAGTAAAAATGAAGGACATAATGCTATAATGATGCTACACACAGAGGGTATTATCACTGAAAATAAAAGGAGTTTTGCCATTAACTTGAACAGGCTTTGGGTTGATTTTAATGCATTTTATAACAGATACTGAAGGTACCTGTCAGATATTTTTTCTAATGCTATGAAAGACTTCTGCTTCAACTAATTTCCCTATTGTAGGTAAAGAGAATATTAATCAAACTAGTGAAATCTTTCAAAACAGAGGGAGAATGGGGCCACTTATTAAGTTTATACATTGTGCTGTGGTTTCAGAATACAAATAGGTTCTACTTTAACCTCCAGATATGTAGCCATATTAAAATCTGTTTGTGCAGCTTCAGATATGGTATATGACTGTCTGCTCATTTGGAATATATTATTATAGAGGATTTTGCTGCAACTCACAGAGACATGGTGGGGCAGAACTGAGGATTAAGTGCTATATGTATGCCATGGGGTATTAATTACATTATTTAGTAACTTAAAATATTTTTAATTTAAATGTGAATTTCTTATTTCCTCTCCCTTTTTCTTTGAAAGATCAGAATGAATTCAGTGCTTATGAAAGATGCCAGATTAATGCCCCTGGAAACTAAAATCTAATTATTCACAGTCTATATTAAATATGAGCTAGAGTGGGAATTCTCAGGTCAGCTCGCAGAGGCAGTCAAGTCAAGGGACATGGGTGACCTAAACTATCCAGACATCTGCTGAGAAGAGCAGTCAGCCAGGTCTGACCGCTCACAATCCCACCAGTGGAAATGCTTTGTTAGACCTGGTCCTGGCCACAAGCGATGACCTGGAGAGGGGACCGCGGGTGCTCAATCACTTGGGCAATAGTGATCATCGTCTATTAGAATTCACCATCCGGCGCAGGGTGGCAAAGGCCTGCAGGAAGACAGCAGCCCTGGACTTCAGAAGGGTGGATTTCATTGAGCTAAGGAAACTAGTCAGGAAGGCACTGAGGTCCCAGAGGGGTAGGGAGTTGGGAGTCCAAGAAGAGTGGTCGTTCCTGAAGGAGACAATCCTCCAAGCCCAAAGGGTGGCAATCCCAACACGGATCAAAGGGGGCAAGAGTGCTCAAAAGCCCCCATGGCTACCCAAAAGCATCCAGGAACATCTCAAAGCTAAAAAGGAGGCGTGCACCCAATGGAAGGGAGGGACCATCACCAGAGAGGACTATACCTCTGTTGCTCGGGATTGTAGGGGGGCTGTTAGGAAGGCCAAGGTGGAGATGGAACTGGGACTAGCAACTTGGATCAAGGATAACAAGAAATCCTTTTTTAAATACATAGGGGGTAAACATAAGGTTCCGGGTAATGTGAGGCCTCTGCAGGACATGCTAGGAAATCTGGTGGTCTCACCAGACAACAAAGCTAACTTATTTAACAATTTCTTTGCCTCCATTTTTCTGAGCAGGGACCAGAAAAATCCCCCCACCAGGATCCCCTATGGTCACAGGGGAGACACAGCCAAGCCCAGGGTCAGAGAAAACCTTTTCAGGGAAACTTTGGTGAGAATGGACATGTTCGATTCAGCAGGTCCTTTTGAGCTCCACCCCAGAGTGCTGAGGGAATTAGCAGAGGTCATTGTGGGATCCCT